ATTGTGACCTGAGTCATCAGGCTCCTGTGAAACAGCTCCAATCAAACTGCAGCAGATTAACAAGTCAGAGAAGATAATAATAATAATAATAAAATAATTTAACAGCTTTCAAATAACTAATTATCAAAACTATGTTTTCCTGAGCTAGCAGAAGTCAGTTTAGCAATAAGATCTTTTCTGCCATGAATAGAGAGCTATCAATTTGGTCTGTCAGAAGTCACACAGGATTTTTTAATGGCAGTTTTTAGTGTAGATAAACACTATCCTAAATTCCATTCCAAATCCTTGATTTTATAGTTTCAGGTACCCACAAAAATTCTTCAATTTCAATTTCAACATTTATTCTTAACGCTCAACATTAAGAAGTTGCAATGGCTTATCAGTAGAAGCTCTACATGAGGTTGTTCATTAAAAAAATCTTCTGGTCACTGGGGCTGAATACCAAGACCAGGTGCAGAATTCTTTTCTGCAGAATTCTGATCCCCAAGTTACAGAGCTACTGTATAAGTTGGCAAAATTCCCTCTGGAAGCAAGGTCAGGCCTAAATGCATGCAAATCCCAGGTCTGAAGACCTGGAAGACACAGACTGTAAGACAAAACAGAAATCTCTGAACAGAATTCTTTCTTAAATCAACACGTGAAGGTATTATGAATAAAGCAGTGATATAATTCATCACTATGAGAAGGAAACATTCTAATACTTTCTGTATGATTTGGGGAAATGTACATAAAATTTGTCTGTTTGGTTCATGGTATGGAATGATACAACTGCTATAGGTTTGGATACCGCCATAAATATCTATCTACCTTTGCTAACCAGAACTCTATCACATTTTTTCCTGGAAAGATAGTAATGAAAACCAGCAAATTTAATGACTTGGCTCTGACTATTATAATAGAAATAGTACAAAAACGAACTAAATGTATAATCTTGCCTTTGTAGCAAAGAGAAGGTAGAGGGTATAAATATATAAATTTCAGGTTAAAGAGGGAAAGATGCTAGTAGAACATTTAATGGACTCTAAGAGACTACTGAAGGATTTAGCCAGGAAAAAAGAACAGTATATTTAGTTAAAGACTCTCTAGCTCAGGGGCAAACCAGAAAGACACAGGACCATGTTCCTGATGCAATTCAGAGCGATTAAAACACCTGAAGAAGGCATAACTTCTAGGGTGTGTTATTTTAACACAGATAATTAATGTAGTATGTCATACTGTTACAGTAAAAGACAACAATGGCTTTATAGAATCTACAGGAGTATTTTTGGGCATGCTCTCATATCTGTCATGGTACCCCTTAGGATTCTGGGAAATTGTTTTTAACATGAAGTGTGATCTTGAGATAGCTGTTCACTTGCCTGAGGCAGTTGAACAGTGGATTCAAGCCCAGGGAAGAGTGCTAAAACATGAAACCTTCTTTCAAGTGTTCCTGAGACTCCAGCCTTGGGGCAGTAAACACATTCCCTTCAGTTTCCAGAGAATGCTGGATCCAAGCAATGCAGCCCAAAACTTCAGTATGGAGAGCAATCAACTGGAGAGGGTAACCAGATCCCCAGAAAACGACTCAGAGTCTCATTTTTAATCTTCATAATTCCAGTTTACATCGTATCAGGACAAAAGAGTATTTCACAAAATGCTAACCTCAAATCCCTTTTGATGAAATACAGAAACAGTCATAAACCAGAGAGGGGATTATTCAGTGATAGCAAAGGATGTCTCTCATCACTTGAAACTACTACTTTCTATTTATGATAATATTCTGATGTTACAGCTCAACTCCACACCTGCATTAGCAGTATGTATAAGAAGCATTATTAAGCAGCTAGGGATTAAGAAACAGTAAATAAAGGTGCTCACACATCTCAATGAAAGCACATCTACCAATTCCACACCGAGTTCATTGGCACCTGCAGCCTTCAAATAGCCATAAACCTGCAACAATAAATCCTCTAAGCCAGAGTTACTTGTGAGTTTATGAAAATCAGACTCAGCACGAGTTTTGTTTAAATCTTTATGCAAGTTTTCTGCTTCCTAAAATGTTTCTTTAGTAATGCTGAAAAATATTCAGATTTTTTGAAATTTGTTGCACAAAGTCTGGGGACATGGTCTTATAAATTAGTGCACACTAACCTAGACTGGGCCCAGACCCAGAAGCTCTGTTTCTCCACAGGTAACTGGGTGGGAAGACACTTGAGGCCAGAGTCCTGCAAGTCGTGTTACAGCAGCCCTGTGTCCCAGCAGCTGTGTGTAGGCTCTCAGATGAACCTGAATGAATCTTTGTAGACATAACTTTAAAAAAATTCTCTCAGAGCTATGACTATAGATGGAGTTGGTATTTTGCTTGTGTCAACTTTTGACCACTGTAACCTATCTAAATGTTAATATAATATTTTTTTTAAAATCTCCATTACAGACTTTTAGTCTTGAGTACTAATAGTTTATTTACTCTCCTTCTAGTGTAACTGATAATGATAATAAATAATTTATAATTTACATTACTTTAAAATAATGTTTCCTTTCCCAGGTAGGTGGACTTTTGCAGAATAAATACTAACCTGGATTTAAATTGAAGAATGAGATTTATAAATACCTGCATTCAAACTATCTGTGAATACAAAGAAGTGATTAAATTCTTGTAACTTCAGCCAGATCAAAGACTTAGGTCAATACTGACAACTTTTAACCATCTTGCACAACTCTTGCAGACAGTTCCACAAACCAATTTGCTTTCTACAGAGGACAGTGGATATTGTCTTTCCACTTTCAGATGCTTTTCAGGATGGACACAGCTAGCTACTAAACCCACTACCGGGTTGAATAATTTCAATATTACCTTTGTGAATTGACTGCTGAAGCAAATAATTTGTTTAAAATATCAATCTTTGAATATGAAACAGTTTATGTTTTTTTTCCAGAATAAACATTAAAAACAAAAAAACCAAAAAACCCCAGAATTCCAAACACAAACCACTGACTACCTGAACTAATGTCAAGTTCAGAGAAGACAAAGAACTCCCTCATTCATAAGAACTTTTAATTTCTTCCCTTAATCAATGAAGATTTTATTATTTCCCTCCAGTAAGGATTTTGATCAAATCCTACATTCAGTTCAAACCATGTTGCTCACATAACACATAGCAAGTCACAAAGATATGCAGCAAGTGTTTAATCTTCAGTGGAAAATCTAGTGGTTAACCATGCAAACAAATTATTTAACTTTTTGCTCAGGAATCATTGCATTTCCAACTCTAGAGTGGTTAACATCTGCGTGGCATTTCAGGAACACATAGTTATGGTCAGGACATCCAGAGTCTGTATCCCCTAAAGCAAAAATGTGGAAGTTAAGGTTCTAAGGCACTTGACTCAACCAGACCATTACATTTTCCTTCCCCTGTAAATGATCTGAGGTAATTTCGACAACCAGAGCTGGAAAATTTATCCTCAGCTAAATGATACATGAGTCTACAGAATGCTTAAATTCAGAAAAAGACTGAAAGTAACAACATGAAAACTGGGGGAAAAAAAAACCTTGAAGAAATGCAACCACAGGAAAAAAAAAAAATCTAGCATGAGATGTCTTTAAAGAGGCATCATGCACAAGGACAAAGACCAAAAGCTATTTTCCCCTCTGTGAAAACAGCAACAGTATTTCTAGTGACTTTTATTAAAAAGACCACTGAATTGCTCATAGTCTTTTCAGTTAGGAAGATGCAGACAAAGAAAGATCCTGTAAGACAGAAAAGATCACAAAGATGCATGCAAAACCAGAATAAATCCCATAGGACAGGAATAATAAAAGAATATGGAAAATACAACCTGTTTGCAGCAAATTAGGATGGCATATCTAGGCACAAATGGCATGCAGTAACTTAAATACTCATCAGAAAATCCTTCACAGTGGAAAAGATGAAACACATTGTGGAATAATCCATCTTTGGATGTAAGTGTTATTCATGCTTTTAAATACTAGGTCAGTGAAACATTTCTTCTAAAAATCGAATGTTGTCTTACATGGCAGAAAACACTTTTAGCAACATCCCTTAGGCTCAATATAAAAAGAATAAAAGATATATCAAAGATAATTTACTTCTGTGTTTGCAGAGGCACAGCAAATTAAAGGAAGGATTGAAGTGTAAGAGGCTCTGGTAATGACACACAGCCTGTGATTGCTTTTGTACGACTCCCCTGCTACAATCACTATTTCAGTAGCTCTGGGTCAGTGATAAGATTACTTTATCCAAGAAGTCTTCTCCCCTCTTGTGGAACTTCTCTGAAGCTGTAAACAGGGTGGTCCACATAGCCCAAGAAAGGCATGACAAGATCTTCTCTCACATAATTTCTAATAATTCTGCATACTTCAGGAGCAAAATCCTCTTAAATCTACAGGCTACTCTTCCTATAGTTATGGTCATAAACTGTACTTTGCTGTGCACTGAAAATCAAAGTGAATTATCCAAACCTGAGAGAGTAGGTCTGTTTGAAAATCCTTCACAAAAGTTAGTAACAAAGAATCTGCAGTTGAGTATTTGTTCCTCATCTAGACATTTTATTTTGTTTCAAAATAAAAATGCAGTTATAAAATACCACAACATATGATAAATTGGAAAATGGCATCATACAGTTATAAAAAAACCCTAAAGGAGACAAAACTTGCCATGATTTATACTTAAAAAGGAGGTTACTACAAAGATGTTCTGTAGTGCTCAGTGGTGTTCTGTGGTGGCATAGAGATTTCAATGAATCAGTAGATTTCCTCAAAAAAAGTATGCACACCATTATTGATCTCATGGACAGAATCTGACAACGTATTATTTACAAGCAGGACCAAATTCTGTATGCTGCAACTTTCAAAGATATTTTCACAACTTACACATCCAAATTCCACTGAAATATGAGCATGTAGTTAAAATTAAGTTTTTGAATATCTCTCACTGTGAGTTTCCCAATCCCAAAGCACATTATAATTCCTCCTTCTAAGATAGGCTTTGTTATTAGATCACCTTTCTCATAGAGCTCTTCCATCGCTCTCCAGGTTTCAGCCCGGACCTCTCGATTGCTTTTACCTGGAACTTGTGCATCAGGCCAGTGAATCAAATAAAGATCTAAAAAAGAAACAGAACCAGACTGCTTGTTAAAGTGTCCAGAAAATAAATAATCAAATCACATGAGACAGCATTTCCCCTCCAGTAGCCCCTAACACATTATCATCATAATAGTTCCAATCACTACTCAGTGATCATTACTGGATGTAGGCAGTTAGCTGTAATAAATTAATTCTATAACATCACATTAACAGCTAAGGGTAGCAGAACTTGCACATGTTCCACATGCTTAGGTCACTGTAATCAGAATTTCATGGTCACATATGCACTTAATAAACTTTCCACACATAACAAGTCCTATTTAAATCAAAAGGATTTTGGTCACTAGAATTATGAGTGGACTATTACTTACTAAGTGCTGCAAGCCTTCCATTTCATGGAAGATAAATATATTTGACAGTTGTGCAGGTAATTTATACAATCTCAGCAGTGGGTCTGTCTTTTTCCCTTCTAAAGAATACTTCCTCTTCTGAATTTATGTTGGAAACTATAGCACATTCTTTATGCAGATTTTTTGTCTAAGTTTTTTGCCTAAGTTTCATGTCAGCCTTTGTGATTTTTTTAAAAGAAGTTTAAAAAAATAATATTTTAACGGAAAAAAATTATGCTTTACTACATTTTTTGGAATGTTAGCACAATTTCAAACACAATTAAGATTTACTGCTGATGAAATTATCATAGAATCATAGAACCTTTTTGTAACATCAGACCTAAGTCTTCCCTGATACTGCTCCCTGCCACCCCTTGGGTCACTGGACACCAGAGAGAAGGGACCAGTGCTGCCCCTCCACTGCCCCTCGTGAGGAGGCTCTTTGGGTGCTGTCTCCCTGCAAGAGAAGACTGTGCTTCAATTGAAAAAGAAGCACTTCCAACACACATTGAGAAATGCACATGTACTGGACTCAGTTCCAAATCAGACTTCAATTTAAAAATGACAGACCTGTAACTCCTTTACAAGTTTGTAGACATTGCTAGACATTTTGAAGGAGAAATGTAGAGATACTCGGAAAACAATTACATTTGTATTCAAATTGTAACTGCAGATTAAACAGGTAACTACAGGTATCCCAGTCAAACAGGTTTTGGCCTTTGCTGCATATATTAGTCTGATGAAAAACAGGAAAAAAAAACCCAGATGACTGAGATGTGTACCATTTTCTTTGTGTTTTATAATATTCCTTTTCTGGCAGTTCAAATAGTGTTAAGAAATAAAAAAACTGACTTGTTTTCAATGAGAAGAGTGTTTTGTTCTTTGGATACATCAATCCATTCATTTACAGCACTTCTTTGTGAAAATACAGACTTTCTTCTTTGGGAATCATGAAAAACAAGGAGGGAAAAGGAAAAAAAAGCCTTTTATTCACAATTTAAAGACTACACTAACAATTACTGTATCAGTGGGGTGGTATGTTAGCTTTCTCCTTCTAAAAATACAAATTCAACCTTGATTTAAGATGAAAGTGTACCATAAAATTTGTTATAATACACTGGCTCCAATTTTGGTACATCATTGCAACAAGTGCTTTACTTACCTTAAAAATCTAATTAGAACAGCACAGAATTATGTACAGCAAAATACATTAGGGATGTAGCAAGGAAAACATTATTTTGGATGTGTAAAAAAATCCACAAGCTACATTTGCATTTCCTGACATCAATGATCCATTTAAATAAAATTTTAAACCCCTAGACTTTTTAAATACAAGAGCTCAGACAAGCCAATAATCACTCATATATAATCATCTGCAGAGTCTGGGTTTGTATCATATTTAAGGAAAAAGTTGATTGCTCTTTGCCCTTTTATCCATAAAATCTACTTCCAATTCTACATGCAATCTTCCTGATCCCCAATCTATCAATAATTACTTCTTTACTAATTTCTCTGAGAAACGAAGTTGTGTTTATTAAAACTAAATACCAATACATGGTATTGGAATAAATATCAATTCTCTGACTTTTAACAGAAAACTAGTATTGGAATATTGATTAAAGCATTTGGTGAGGTTATGTTCAAAACTCAGGACTACTCACATCCTCTTGCCAATAAAATTTCCACTGATTTATTTTAGACATACACCGAAAGGGTTGGCATTAGGAATTCCCAATATCAAGTGTTCATTTTGCTCTAAAATTATATATGCTACTAGGACTACTTACTGCATACAGACTGACATGTTTGTATTTAAACCTTTTTGCTTGTATAAAGCAAGTGTCATATCTAAGTAGGTGTAAGTTACTGGGATCTCACACCTACCTCCCAGAAAAATGGAAGAATGATATATTTTTAATTGCTGCTTGCCATGTTCTCCAAACCAGACTAATAACTGCTTAACTATGCAAAGAAATGTCATTTAGCAAAAATAATCAAACTTCAGCAGAATTTCACCACCAGTTACTTCTCCAAAAGCCTGACTGTTCAGTTAGACACCACAGTTTGGAAATGCTTACAGAAATAGTTACATCAGGGATTTCCACAGACACAGATGCATTGTACTCTGCTCAGGAAACTGAAACATTCTCCAAAGGAAGACTTTTAAGAGATCTGATAACTGAAAGATCTCTGGCCTCAGACATCCCAAAAAGTGCAACACATTCCCTTTCTCTGTATTAATGTCTGAGGCTTCTGATGCAAACAAGATTAGCTGTTGTCCTTGATTTTAGAAAGGTTTTGTTACCAGGTACACCATCACGATATCATCCTGTTATGTTTCTTTTAAGTTAGGCTTTTTCACTGAAATAAAAATTACTTCACATTCCAAAATATTGGAACTTAGGGCTAGAAAGCATCTCCTGGATCACCAAGTACAGTCTTCCTGACTGCAAGAAGTGTTCATGAATGATGTGGGGCAAAGGTGCCTTATCTCATAGACAAAGAGTAGAACAGTCCTTCTGCCAGTCATGTGTGAAGCACCCAGCACAGCCAGGACCTTCCTTCTACTGCAGCTGTTAGAAAACTTTCCATCATACCTGCAGGCCAATAGAAACAACAACCACCTCACAAACCATGGTCTGTGATTTCATCTTTATTTGTACACACATTCACACCCTACACCCACACACACATTTTCTTTTGCTTAAAATATTTTCCCTCCTGGGGTATTGTGAGAAACAAACACTCTTAAATTCCTTTCAGAGGCAAGAAATTACCTTTAAATCATTGCCTGAAATAGCTTAAGTTCTAGTAATCAAGAAATACATAATTTTATCACTGGAGGCCTTTAAAAACAGACTACATTTTTAATGAGAACGAGGTTGTGCCTTCTAGCATGGGAAAGATTAATCAATTTCTTGAGATGCCTTCCAACAATGTATTTTTTAAAATAATCTTAAATCAAAAAATCCATCTTTATTCACAGTATCAGGAGACACTTGAGAAAGAAGGAAAAATCCTCCAAACATTCACAGTCTGGTTTCATATTTAACAGCTTTAAAAAACATCCTTTGCATACAGTCAGGCTGCAATGGTGCAGCAATGGTGCAGCAGTGAACAGAGGCCTGAAGGTCATTAAATGTCAATGCACAGTGGTGCAGCAAAACTAAAGCTAATACCCGAGCTGCTTTCACACAGACATTTAAAATATAATGGCTTATTGCTTCTTAGTGGTTGCAGCACCTACAATCAACACACTTCCTCTTAACTGAAAAGTACAGGGCCATTTTACACATTTAAAAGCCAACATTATGTTTTTCTGGAAATAAAAGTCTGCAATTCTATGCAAAATCCCTAATACAGTATTATAAAAAAAGTTAAATTTGACTAAAACAAACCTAGTAGTATGAAAAACAAGCCCAGTCTTCTATCAAGCCTATAATCAGAAGTATATTCTGCAAAGTTTCCCAGCTGTCTTAATGATGGGAATCCTATTTTCTTGCTTTTCTCAACAGTCATTTAATGTTGATATATTTTTCTTTCTCACTCAATCCTTTTTGTTTTGTGTTTCCTTCTATTGAACAAGGATCAATGTGAAACAATCTACAAAGTGTTCTGAAGCAATAGAGAGTCTGAATTATGATAACACACTAATTTCATGTGATTCATCTATTACAGTGAAGCTGCTGATAGAGCATTTGTCCAGCTCCAGCTGGGGATTTGTGACAGGCCAGATTTGCCTGAATGGGACAAACTCAGAACTGTCAAAAGGAAAATAAAATTGTTTATGAATTCAGTAACCCACAAATCAGCATTCAAGAAGTTACTTTAGAGGTCGGATCTAAATCCCAAGGAATGTATTCTGCTACTGCCAAACCTGTACAATCTGCTGCCATTCCATATTGGTTTACTGTTACTATTAGTTGAGGATCACATTTAGAAAATGCAAGGAGCAGAGTATCTGTTACAACCACTGCCCACATATAATACAAATTTCCACTATGTCATGGATATATAATCTACCAGTTAAAAAAAAAAATCCTGGAACATTGCTCTCCTAGTACCACTTGTCTGAAAAGTGTTCATTGAAAAGGCTTCATAACAAGTATTCTGCATGGAGTATTTTACATTTTCTCTTAAAAAGCCGTGACTGCTTTCAACAGCTCACATTCCATATACTGATAATGCAAAGATTTATTAATTCCTGTTAGATTATTTCTCGGGTTTCTAATTCAATCTTTAGGGATAGACTGGGTAACTCCTAAGGACCCTCCAGAAAATGAACATTAGCTGCACATTAAGCTGCCAGGGCTCCTCTAGCTTTTTCTTTTTGCACACCTCTGAATTACTAACTTTCCCTCCAACATAAAGATCTAACATCACACATATATTATTTAGGATTTTTCAGCTTTCTTTATAAACTATGTATATTTATAGAACGTGTAAACCCCCATGTACTTGGTTAATACCAGAATGAAATCAGGGAATTCTGATTTATTCTGTTCACCATTGATTTAGGTCACCACAGCAGATTAAATGGTTCAGGAACAGTTTGTGAATTTTTGACACATCTCCACATCAGTGGAAGAAAGGTGAAGAAGGAGGGAAGATAGCTGAGGGTAATAAGGAACCAAAACAAAAATATAAAAAATGAGGAAAAATCTAGTATGGAGACTAATTGTGTAGGCAGCTGTAACATTCCTAAAATTATCTTAGTAATATGTGCACAAGAAGTTTCAGCTCTGAACACATTTGACAAACAAGTTCTGTTTATGCGATTCTGAGGATTCATTCACATAGTGACAGCATTAGCACATTTCTTACTCTCAGATATTCTTTTTCTTCTTTTAGACATTTCTGCTTAGCAGAAACTCAGTATTTGTGTGAGCATCTACTCCAATCTACTACCTGAGAAAAAAGAACAACTTACAGTACTAGAAGGAATCACTGCAAATGACTTCTTGGAAGTGTGTCAAGCTTTTCTCTCATCAACATTCAGCACCAGTGCCAGAGCAAGCAGAAGAAAAAAGAAAGCAAACAAAATATAACAAGCAGAAAACAGAGAGAAGGAATAATGCTATTTCTCAGTTTAAAGGAGAAAGTCAGGGCTCAAAACCTTGTTTATTAAAGTCTCATTGTAGTGACTTGCATTTGCACAGGACAAACAAAAAGTAATTTTCATTCATTTTGTATTATTCTGTACCTGTGGAGGAAGTTAAGGGATACATTTCCAGAACGAATGGAGCCAAAGATGTGCATGTAAGTATCTCAGTCTTTAACAGATACAGGTTTTCCCCTGTTCACCTTGTAAAATACTCCAGCAGAAAAAGGCAATGAATACAACACACAGCTGCCATTGATATTATACATTATTAATTCAGCAAAATTCACTTCCTCATTGGAGTCTGTTTATTGCTAAAATATGCAAATATCATGTTTATTACAGGTACCTCCACTCCTATGACCTGTTGCTAAGATCTAATTGGCATCATTACCACAACTCTGCCTGTCTAGTAAGGGAGTAACAATATAACATCTTTGACAAGTAGTTTATGATCAGGGTAAATTTACAAATGCAGTGTTAGTTAAGCTTTAATTTTAGTTTTCTAAATTCTTGTATATATTTCCAACATTTTCTCCAAAAAATATTCCATCAAACAGACCAAACCAAAGGCAGTATTCAGAATTTTAAACAGTTGAAAGGCCTACAAAGTAAGTTTTAGAAAGGATCCCCATTCCTTGAGAAAAAGAAAACAGATCACAGAAGAAACGAGGCATCTTTGTCACCCTGTTGCCAATATATTATTGTAAAGTTTATGAATCCTTGTTTTGTAGGTTTTGGATTATTTTAGCAAAATATAAAAACCTGATATAGTTTTTCCTCAAGTCATTTAACAATAAAAAATACCTTTGCAAAACATTTGCAACAAGAAAAAGTTCTGTGTTCCTAATAGTACAAATGTGAACTTCCTAGAGAACAAACAGAATAAGAAACCTGCAAATGTGTAAATAAAGGCAGAATTTGGTTTCTGTGACCCATCTGTACTACACAAATTTCTTTCAGAATTCATTCCTCTTTGCAAATACTCCCATGGAAAGCACAACAAATGAGCTATATGCAAAGATTCATACCAAGATATTCAACACCAAGTCTTTCACATGACTCCAGGCAGGCCTTTTTTGTGTTTTCATAGCCATAATCACTGTGCCACAGTTTGGTGGTTATCCAGAGGTCCTCTCGCTTCACACCACTCTCTCTGATGGCCCTTTGGAGGAGGGATTCACAGCCATATCTCTTTGCTGTGTCAATATGACGAATGCCACATTTCTGCAGGGCATGGACCACCGCGCCATGGGAATAGCCACCATGGTGGGAAGTACCTAAACACACAAAAGCAGAAGTGAATTGTCAGCAGTGAATTATGAGGGGCATATTTTATCATTGTTTTCAATTTTTCCTTTTTTTTAATATATATATTGTCACATAACCTTCTTATTTAGTTTTCATTTCCTCATAGTAAAGAAATGGGAACTGACTGATCTTTAGGCTTGGAAAACACATCAAGTAGGAGAAGTTGGTGCTGATCAAAAGCAACTCCATCAAAATCAAATGTCAACAACATTTAACTGTAAAGAAGTGAGTCAAGGAGCTAGGCTAAATATCAAAGAGAAAATATTTTTCAATTTTTATGGAAAATTAGTATATGTCTCTTAATTTACATGCAGAAACATAACACTTACAGATTAAAATATTTTTAAAAACCAAAAAACCTGAAAAACTTTCAAAACCATTTACTTCACAAAAAGCATATCCTGAAACCTTTACTCTGTTGAACTCCTGGTAGCTTGAAATCATTATTGCATTGTACAATCCCAGGCTGGGCCACAGTGCAGGTGCCAGTCACATAATATCACATTCAGCAGTAACCAAAACAATGGAATCCTACAAAAGAGTTACAGAATGGACATGCAGGGAGTTTCAGTAACAAAATCCTGTTACTGTCCTTGTGTGGGGATTCACTGGATCTGTATTTTGCATGTCAAGGGTACGGAAGGAGGAGGAGACTCAGCAGGAAAAGCAACCACCAGGAGGACTTCAGATAAAGAACTGGTTGAGAGCAAGGAGGATGATGTTTCTACTTACCCTTTCCTGTTAGTTGCTTTTCCTGCCATGAGCCCCTCACCCATTCACCCTCACTCCACAGACTTCCCACAAACAGTATTTTCTACAGTTTGCTGGAGGAAATGCTCAGTCAGTTCCCAAAGTCACCTCCTTCCAAGCTGTGATTAGTACTTAAAGCCCTGTAAACAACAGGCAGCACGAAACGGCTCCGTCACCGACTTTAGACACAGCCCTGCACGGTCCTGAACAGCAACAGGGCTTCAGCCACTGCTAAATCTAAACAAATTAATAAAGAACTCCAGTTAAAGAATTATTTAAAGTGAAATTTGTACCTGCTCTTACCCTTCTCTTTCCAACCCAAATGCTACCTGCACATTGTGGAAGTAGCCTTGCAAATGGCCACCCAGGGTGGCAGGAAGAGGCCACCACTGAAAGCACCACTGGTGCTCCTCCGCAGAGCCCCCAACCCCAGCAGGGCAGCAACGCCCAGAGGAGGCTGCAGGACATTCTCACATGCTTTTAACTACCAGCATCAGTGAGAAGAACTTGGAAAAGTCTGACTTGCAAGGAAGGTGAACCAGGTTTTCCTAAATGCTTATCCTTTTTGCTTTCCTGATCTTAGAAGGAAAGCCAGCGAGTCTTGCTCAACGCTCAAAGTCATTTAAACTAAGATATAATATGGTCTGATCTCCCACTCATACACATCAGGATGATGACATCCTGCTACACACAAAAGGACAATTTCCACTTTACATTTGAGACCAACAAAATGTGGAATCAAGAATAAAACTCTTGACTTATCATCATGGATTTTGAAGTGATGAAACTATAATACTATATTCCTACAATTTTGACATGCATTCATAAGTAATTTACTTTCCAAACATAAACAAAGATTTGATGGTCTAGAAGACAAAACTTTAAATAATTTTTTGCCATAGCCACTAATTATGATTACTAATTGGCTTAATTTCTGACCTAACTATAAATAAATGTCTCTACAACTTGTTTTACATCAAAGTAACTTCAGCTAAGTCAATCTGATTTTCAAAATAGCTATTTCAAAATCCTTATGTTTAAGAATTTTAGATGACTGCAATGCTACTACTACATTACACTTATAAGAATATATATGAAATTGTACATTATTGAAATGCTAAAGGAATTTTATTACAGAATTATATAACTAGCACAGAAAAATTACTATACTTATTCACAACAAACCTTTCACTTTTAATATGCTGGTACTGGTGCAAAATAAATGAGGTTGTAACTATTGTGTCTGTTTCTGGCTGAATGGACATTTCTAAGCACAGAATGAATGGAGTTCATTTAGAGGTCTTGCAAATGGACTCAGACTCTTTTCATGCATAATGGATTTCAGTAAGAACATTTAGGACAAACAACTTTTTTTTTTCTTTTTTTTTAATTTAACCCTTTAAGTTAAAGGGAGAGAGTGGTTAAGAAAGAAAAATCAGAATAATTTTGGTATTGTTCCCCATTCCATGGTGGCATGCACACTTGTTACACAAGAAATAAAGACAGCAAGATCAATCTGGAGGAAATTATCTCAGTTTCTATGCCTAAAAATGAACTACAACAGTCCTGGTGCACTACACAGTAATCAAAAAGAAATCGACAATTACTTAATATTACCACTTTGCAAGCCAACTTAATAATGAACAATAGGTTGATAAGTTAATTATGCTACTAATATAACATTTCCAGACTTCAGAAACCACAGTTTTCTTGTGTTTATACATCTGATTAAAGAAGTTACAAGTCATAGATGCAGATGGATAACAAAAGTGAAAGGACTGAACTTTCTAGTTCTTTTTCCATTAGGAATTTAAACAATGCTATTTGAACACAGTAACATTCTCACATGTTTGGCATTCCCCTTTGCTCACAGAGATGTAATTCACGCTGTACATATATATTTAAAAACAGAATCCAATCATGCATTTAAAACTAGTATGAATCTGCACCCTTTCCATCACATTCCAGTTTCTAAAAATATTTAATACATTTTTCCCTAGAATTTGCTGATAAGAAAAAGGAACTCATTTCGAGAAACTATGTTAAATATCAGTAAGTTTGGAAAAGCTTCCTATTTTTTAGCTAGTATTTTAACTTCTTTCCTAGGGAAATAGCACTGTTACCCTACTGACTGAACTAAGCCAAATTTGACAGATTACAAGACATGCAAGCCAATTACATTTCTATGGATTTTGTGAAAAACTGGTGGTGGTAAGGGACAAGGATACTGCAGTGAAAATATGGATAGGTCAAAGGACACAGATCCATGGAAAGTAGGCTTAACTGGTTACATTGTTATTTTTTCACAGTTACTTTCTCAGTACCCTGCAGAACACTGCCATCAAAACTGGAATGAGAACACGCTCTGACAACCCATAAAATGATACAAAGATTATTAGAAAAGCAGACTCCTGCTCACAATGCAGTTGTTACAGGGGAAAAAGCCCCAACATGCCATCCCATTCAGCAACACCACCCCCAACCCCTCCAAACCAGAAAATTAGCAACACCTCCTCTCCTCTCCCCACCAAATATGTAAAACAAGTAAGAAACCACCCGCTATCCCTGCTTCCAGATTTATGCACAATCTCAGCTCTCAGCCTCATTAAACTTTCTGTTCCCCCTCACAAAGCTGTAGAACTACGGAGAGAAATCCAAAGCACCAACTGTTTTTCAAAACAGAAGCCGGATCTGCTTTCTCTCCCTGCTTTCTCCCTCCCTTTGTGGCAAAGTGTCATGTTCTTTATGAAATGTGAAACGATTATTCATTTGAATATATGAAAATGACCAGTGAGATTAATTACTTTGGCTACTTGAATTCAGTGGAATACCATTAGAAAAGTTCCTGCTGAAACCCCAACCAGAATATTTAGAGATCACATCAGAGACTAATGATCTTCTGACATCAGTACTAAATTTAAAGAGTTGACAAAGAAAATATCTGTAAAGATACCATTCCTTGCTGATTTTTTAATCTCAAATTAATCACCTAAAAACTCTCAAAAGCACAAACATTCTTTTCCCAACTGTTAGACACTCATTGTGTCTATATGGTATTTTATACCATACCAGGCTTGAAATACCTGATTCTATTTGTTTTATTTCTACTATTTAATATTACATCAATGTAACACATCTTATGACATATTGAATTTTTTGGTGTTCATATAGTTTTGATTTCCTAATTACCTTATGAGCAAATGAGATGACAAAACATGAAATGGCCATACATAATGAAAATGAACATATAACACATTTCAAAGTTAATTCTTAACGCATTCACAAAACCACATGCCTCTTCTGTGGAAAGGCTCAAGGACAGACAATCCTTACTTGCTGTCCTTGCTGTCTGTCTTATACCCTCCTTCTGATTTTGTATTCATATGATCCTCTGACAAGCTGACTCAGATTCTTAAATGGCCAAAAAAAGAGAGTAAGGTTTCAGAATTATTCATGAACCTGAATAATTCCTCAGAGAGGAAAACCCACTACATTTCATGCAAGGAATGGAGCAAAACAAGTTCCCCCTTTAGCAGCAGCAGTTGAATAATTTGATTTAATAAATGCTTTTATTCAAATTAAAGAAAAATAAAATCACAGATGCATCCTAGCCAATCAACAAAAGATCAGAATGACCTTCTCCATGAACTTTTCTCCTGGAGCCCTTCTTTCTATTATATTCCCCAGCGCCATCTCTACAGCTGCTCTCAGACAAGCCAATAATGTCACACTAACTTTCTACTACCACAGCACTAGAACCCAACTAAATTTGCCATAGTAAATTATTTGGTATAGTTTTATCTTAACAGTGTCAGTTACTCAGAAAATCCTATGACAAAATATTCAAGGATCCTCTCTCTAGATTTCTAGAGTGTAGGGCTTCCCTCTGCAGCACGTGAAACCAAAGCAAACCTTGCCATGAAGTTACTGCACTCTACAATTTTCATGAGGCAACTAGAGACTATTTCAGCATAAGAGATCGAAATTTAATAACAATTACTTTTACAAAATAACTTGGATATTTTATTCAGAGTACAAGACTGGCACCCAATGTGTATATAAAATAGGGCAGCTACTCCTGAGGGAATGGAGCCTAAGGGGACAATGGGCTTCTGGAAAAACTGGTAGGACACCATCAACAATAACTGAAAAACACTGAGCAGACTCCCATTATAATCAATGGTTTATAATTGGTCCGAAAAAAGGCAGCACAAAGGTT